CAACAAGACTAAGGGGTGCGTTTACTAAAATTAAAATTTGAAAACTAAAGTGTGAAATATAAAATCTGAAGTCTGAATTCATTAGATTATTGAATTATTAAGTATTAAATCTGATACATGTGAGTGCATATCACATTCAGTGATAAGTGAATAGGTTATTACTTAATTTTGGGAACAAGTTTTGTTTAGAAAATTCAGTGCCACTTAATTAATTCAAATGTTTAATTTTTTATTATCAAACGGTTTGAATATGTTAAGATCTGAATCCATTAAATTTAAGTTCTGAACTAGATTATCAAACATGGACTAAGCATGATTCGTCCCTTCAATCCGCGACCCTTGCTATGGTTTGTAAACCAGATCGTGCTTCGCCAACTTAAATTAGGGTTTTGCAATGAAACTTGTTGGACACTTGACCCCTTCAAAGCTTCGATGGACTCCCAACTTTTCAATTGACTTCCTTAGTTTTATTAGCATGTGCTCGAGTCATTGGCTCACCCGGCGCCTTCCCATGGGCTTCTTGATCACCATGACCAGCTTTGATCTCCGCATCACACTTGCCTCCAACAAGGGATTGGGCCAACTATTCAATTAAGTGACATTGAGCATATTTTCCATCTCTTTTCAAGAAACAAGTGAGCTATTTCTTTGCAAAATTATGCTCAATATCATATGTGTCAATTGGGCCAAGATCTCTTCATTAGTTGGGGGAAGGAATTGGATTTTTTTAGGAATGTATCGAGAGAGAATTGATTTAGTTAGATAATGTATGGTTGATAAACAAGGATTGATTTTTCAATAAGATATGTAATGTATCATCAAATATTTAATATGATTCTATAAGATAATCTTTTGGTGACAAGTGAAACTTATTGATTACAGGTAAAATTTATTTGTTACAGGTGAAGCAAAGTGCATTTTTTGTTGTCGTATTGTTTTGAGTGCATATTCACAATTTTTTATAGGGAAAATTATTTAAAACGTCCATCACATTTTGTAAAATGACTTTTTTCATTCTTCACTTATAAAAATGTATTTTTACATTCCTTACAAATTTACATTAGTCAAATTTGGTCTCTACCTATATTTTCGATTAGTTTTTGTTCGAAATCTACCCATGCCTTGCACGTGATCATTTTATACGGGCAAAATTGTCAATCAAAATTTATATAATTCGATCTATAGTCTCTCACATTTCACAAAATGAATTTTTTGTTTTTCACATTTCACAAAATGAATTGTTTCATCCCTCATATTTTATAAAATGAATTTTTTCATCCATCACATTTTACAAAATAATTTTCATCCCTCATTTATCATGTGTACGAATAACCTTTTTTTTTAACTCATGTATATATCTATTTAATTTCACTGAACAATACGAATAGCATGCAATATATTTTATTTGATTTCACCTGAATGTACTGTTCAGGTGAAATAAATAAATATATACATGGGTTTAAAAAAATTGTTAATTTTTCACTCATGTTTATTTCTTTTTAATCGAAAATTGAATACAAAGAAGACATTTAATCCTAAACATTATCAAGTATTTATATTGAATTAAATTTGGACATAAACAATAAACAAAGGAAAAGTATGACAAAAAGAAGTAAGTGATTAACACTTTCAAATTTTAAGACAATCACAAGACAAGAAATTCAACTGTTGATCTTAAAGGTGGCGAGTAGAAATTTCAAATTTAAACTGCAATTTGTTAACAAGATTATAGAATTCGAATTAGGACTGATTAATTAGATAACCTTATTACACAATTCAACAAATGAACTATTACCAAAAAAGAAAATATCACAAATATTGAATAGATTCACATGGTGAAATCATGTTATTCGTACTGTTCAAATGAAATCAAATAGATATATACATGAATATTTTTTTTAAAAAAATTATTTGTATATATGGTCAATAAGGGATAAAAAATTCATTTTGTAAAATGTGAGGGACGCAACAATTCATTTTGTGAAATGTAAGGGACTACAGATCGGATTATGCAAAATTTGATTTGATAATTTTGCAATTTCGACAAAAAACTAGTCGAAAACTTTGGTAGGAATCAAATTTGATCAATATGAATTTATAAAGGACATTAAATTACATTTTTATAAGTGAGGGATGAAAAAAATTATTTTATAAAATGCGAAGGACGTTTTGAACGGTTTTCTCTTTTTTATATTTGATAATATTAGGACTGCAAGTAGTATTTTGATATATGGTAATATTAGAAGTAATTCTAATAAGTAATTATTGGTATTGTATAATATACATATTTACATACAATTTTTTAAGAATCTTCGTATTACATGCCTTTCAAAAATATTCTGAAAAATATTTCGTTCTTTTCACCCATGTATTTCATAAAGTTTATAGACTTGCACCTGTAAACATGACAGTGCGAGAAAGAAACTCGTCTATTTATTGTCTGGTAAACTTCGATTCTTTCCCGTCCTCCCCGGATGAGGGGCAACCGTCCCAGGCAGTTCACGGTTTGGATGGAGCCTTAAAAATTTGTGCGGCTCAGATCACGTCTTGTAACTCGATTTTCATGTCGTGTGGAATTCACAAAAATATTATTTTATTTTACTCACTATTGTTCAATTATTACACCTTGTACAAATGATGTTACACCATGTACGCGTCCTCTTTCCTCAATCTCCGATTCCCTCCTCCACGCTCTCTTCTTTTTTATTCATTAATTCCTTTGTTGCTGTGTTCTTTTCTTTTTGGGTTAATTACATTTACCTCCCCAGAGGTTTGACTAAATAACGAATCGATCCCTGAGATTTGACCAAATAACATATTCCTCCCTCACACTAACTTCTGTCACTTATAAGTAACGGAAATAGCTAAAAGTCTGAATAACCCTTATTAATTTCCATCAAACTTTTAAGACATAAAAATAGAAATATGTACTTACAATTTTACCCTTTAGGTGGGAAACAAGACAGATAGCGACTTTATCACTTCAACCCCTACAATCCCAACATCAGATTATCATACTACACTCACTTTTCTTGAACTCTCTTTCCATGAAACCCTATGTTTCTATCATTGCTTAATCCTTAAATCACTAAGATAAAACTCAAAAACTACAGTGCGTTGTCTACATATCAACATATTGTGGCTGGAGAAATTTTTCACAACAAAGGTTGTAGGGTCGGAAAGCTATTGGAGGCCTAAGCATGGTACTATCTTTAACTGATCATTTCTTGCATGGGTATTATATACTATTTGAACCAAAAAAATGAGTTCTGCATGCACGGATCTAATATTTATATACATTAGATCCTTCTTAGTTTGATTTCTAGGACACAAATATGCTTCAAATTTAGGGGTTTTTGATTGTGATGCATCAATACAACATTGCCAGCATTTTTGGTTGCTACTGCATGTATAATAGTTATATGGGTGGTGAACGTAGTCATAAATAACAAGAAATCCAGATTTAATAATGTAAATCTGGAGTTTTTGTGAAATTTTTTAATATATCACTTTTTTCTACATTGGCAACATACATATGTAATTTTTAGTAGTTTGAACCACAATAAGGTTGTATTAGTCGTTTATCAAAATAGTTTTACAATTTAGGGTTTAATAGGAAATCTTTATTTATTTCCTGTTATGTCAGATTCCACGTTGATTCATATCTTCAAACTTAGTTGCATGCAAATCAGTTTTTTCTCATCATATTAATGCTATTTGTTAATGAAGCGCATGATAAACTTTGTTGTTTTCGTGGTTTTAGGCTGGACTTGCAAGTGTCTACGGCATTACTCTTCATTGTGAAAGCATGAAGTTTGAACTAAGGAATATTGATCCCGATCGCTATTCTTACATTGACTTGTTATCTGATGTTTGTGAGAATGTTTTGAATCGTATTTCTAGTCGACAAAATATCATGATTGCTTTATGTTGTGATATCCCTGGTACTATGGAAACAATGAACATTGAAATTGATTCGGATGTGCTGGAAATGTTTGGTTTACATAGGAGGAATGGACGTATCAATGTTTATGTTAGGCAGGTTTGTGATGATGTTCAAGAGAACTTGAATGAAAATGCTGGTAATGGGAACAATATTGATGGAAATGGAAATATTATGGGGCTGAATTTTAATAATATTAGTGCCAATGTTAATAATGATAATGAAAACAACACGGGAATAGATGGTAACAATGTTGATATTGCTATGAACTTTGAAGTGGTGGGTGTTAACTTCCATGGGGCAGAGAGTAGCAATACCAAAAGGGCTGGTAAGAAGAATTCAAAAGGTTGGGCAGAAGGAAATGCTAGACAAAATACTATAACTAGCAAAAGGTTGGGTAAAAGAAAGGAATTCGAAAATGTTTTGAATGGTGTTGATGCAGGGATCCAGGATGAAGTGGAAACTGATGATGAGCTATATGTTTATAGTGACAATGATGAGATGAGTGTTGACTTAGATGATGAACTATTTAGTACATTTGTACAAGAGGGATTGGAAAATGAGTTAGATTCTGGTGGAGACTTGTCTGATTATGAGTCCAATGATGAAGTTGAAGCTGAAAATGAGTCCGACAGTGACTTGGAGGATGATTTAATGGGTGCATGCCTAAATATTGCTGAGTTTTCCATGCCTAAGGGAGAGAAATTTAGGCTCTTAAAGGGAATGATATTTGGAAATGTTGAAACTTTTAGAAGGGTGCTATATGAATATAAAATTCAGTGGGGTTTTCCTCTAATTTTTGATAAAAATGAAAAGTCTAGAGTTATGGCGCATTGTGGCAATCAAAGTTGTGATTGGAGAGTACATGCTTCTCCAGCACCTGATAAGATGACATATATGGTAAAAACATGCACACCTAATCATGCTTGTGTCATGAGTGAAAAAATTGTTGCTTCTGCCAAGTGGATTGCAAGAAAAATAATTGACCTATTGAGGGCAGATTCCACTATTAAACCTGAGCTATTAAGGCATGAATTGGCTAAGTATTCCTACTGATATGCAGCTTTATAGAGCAAAGCAAAAGGCACAAGATATTATTGATGGTAGCCACGGTGATAGCTATAGCTTGCTGCCAAAGTATTGTGTCATGATTATGAATACAAATCCTGGTAGTATAGCTAAGATTCAATTTGAAATGACTTTGGGATCGGCTGTTCCTTCAGTTAAAAGAATGTTTGTGGGGTTAGATGCACTAAAGAAAGGATTTTTTGGTGGCTGCCTTCCTTTCATAGGATTTGATGGATGTCACTTGAAAGGGCCGTATGGAGGGGTTTTACTTTCTGCAATTGGTCTAGATGGAAATAATGGATTGTATCCTATTGCTTATGCCATTGTTGAGAGTGAGAATAAAGAAAGTTGGATGTTTTTCTTTGAATGGTTAGCTGCAATGCTTGATGACTTTCGAAGGGATAGGCCTTGGACTTTCATGACTGATAGGCAAAAGGTAAGATCTTAACAACTCATTCAACTAATCAATCACTGATTTTGGGATTTTAACACATGTATTTTTTGACGTTTGTAGGGACTGATTGAAGCCATTAACTCTAAGGTACCATGGGCAGTGAACAGAAAGTGTTGCAGGCATATATATAGCAATTTTAGAGGCCATTTTCCAGGAGTTATGCTTAGGCAATTATTTTGGCAAGCTTCCAGGGCTTACACTGAAGTAAACTTTAAGGAGGCTATGGCCAAAATTAAGGATTTAAAACCTGCAGCCCACGAGTGGCTGGAGAAAATTCCTTATCACCTGTGGTCTAGGCATGCTTTCCCCACAGATTTGAAGAATGATCACATCACAAACAACATTGTTGAATCTTTCAATCATTGGATAGGAGATCTAAGGGGTAAGAATGTGTTAACATTGCTGGACAATATTCGATCTAAGTTGATGAGTAGGCTGTTAAAAAGATTTGAAAAAGGCTGTCTTTATAAGAATAATGTGGTTTCAAATGTGAAAAACAGACTTAATGTACTTGCTAATGAATGTAGAAAGTGCACTATACTGCTTGCAAGTGGTAACGAATTCCAAGTGAAGGATTGTAATGTTTCTTACATTTGTGAACATCAATGAGAGAACATATGATTGCAAGGTATGGAACTTGTCTGGAATACCATGCAAGCATGCAACAGCTGTTCTTATTAACAAGAGAGAAGATTTGGAAAGTTATTGTGATTTTAGCAAGACAAAAGAATTTTACATCAGAGCATACAATGAAGTCATTCATCCAATCCCAGATGTAAAGTTTTGGCCACCTATTGAAGTGAATCCTTCAAAAGTACTACCACCAGTATTTAGAAGAAAAGCTGGCAGGCCAAGAAAGGCCCGGAGAAGGGAGCAAGGAGAAGCACCAACTATAGGCCAAGGAAAAAGATCATCCACGCTGAAGTGTAGTTTGTGTCAACAATTTGGGCACAATAAAAGATCTTGTGAAGGTGATCCAAAGAGGAATAGAAAAGGCAATTTCAAGAGAAGAAAGGTGGAGTGCACTATTCAAACTCTTACATTCTTACGTACCATGGACTGTAATCTTAAGCATTTTCTAACCTTGTTTTCATTACCAGTGGAATGGAACCCCGTGTATCTACTGGAACTAGCATACCAACATCTACTTATTGTCCCACACAAGAATCAGTTACTCTACCTGCTGGAAGTACACAACCTCCCATTGAAGTCTCTCAGGTGACTTCTAATGTCATGTACTCAAATTCTCATATTTGTAGATTTGGCTAACTATAAACATGCATGAAATTGTAGGGAGAAAGCAATACTAGACATGTTGCTTTATCTCAAACACCTGAAGAAATGTTTGGGAGTTCAAGAGCTTCAAATCTACCGGGCAAAAATCTTGCTGCTATAGTCATTGGAAGAAGATCAGTTGCTGGCAACAACAATGGAGGGTCAATATTAGGATCTATTCCTACTTCAGCACAACCAAGGCCTACATCAACATTGCCAGCAACTTCTGAAAAAAATTCTCAATCTAAATATGCAATGTTCTAGCCTTCAGGCTTTGTTTACATATGCTTTTTGTTGACATGGTTGCAAATGAAGATAATTAGGATTCTCAGTCTATTGTGCTTATACTTATTAGACTTTATGGCCATGTTATGGTCTTGTTGTTCTGTTGACGGTTCATAGCACATATGTGGTGCCGATACTGATAATACTCTTTTGATGATTCATAGCACAATGGAACTAAGTTTTGCTTGTTTCTCTGTTTGTTTTCACTAGCTCTTTTCAAGTGCTTGGTATGAGATATTTTAGATTTTATGCAAACTGTTGAGTGCAGCTGAGTGGTCACATATTGCATGATTTTCCAGCAGGATTAGATACAATTTGGGTTACCATTGAAATAGGAGAAATATTTTAGGAGAAAGCCAGAGTGAGTCGAGAGGCAGCAGCCAGGGTTATGTGGAAGAGACTCAGGTTATTTTGCTGAAATGGAGTACGGTCTTGTGGGCCTTGTTATTAGCTTATGATAACATAAAGAAGAAAATAAAACATAAACGTCACTTTATAAAGGCAAGTGGTACTTGCTGTCTGTGTATATACCACAGTCTCATTTGGATTCCGTCCTCCTTCTCAGCCTAAATTCTCAGCTTAGATTTTTATTCCAAACCCCTCAATTTTCTGATCTACGGCATCGAAACCAAGCCCCACAAGATAACCCGACCCATGTGTAAGGCCTGGTGCAACCCAATGAGTACAAACAATTTCACAATGATGCACAAAGATATATCAAATTTAAGCACAATAAAGAAAACTTAATTAAAGAGAAAAGATAAGAAATGCAAACCAAATATCAATCCAATAGCCTCTTCAATAGATGGCGATGCTAACCAAGATGTACAAGTGAAAGCTCACTCCTTCCTCACCCCAAACACACTTTGGTTGAGCCAAGGAGTTTTTCAAAATTTTCAAAATTTTATGATTCACTAAATAAGGGGGAGTTCTTGAGAAAGGGGGAGCTTATACTGCAATCATCAAATTTCATTTCAAACTTTTGTTTTGTCATCATCAAAAAGGGGGAGAATGTTATTATTGGTTTTGATGATCACAAAAGTTCGTTGAAATGTTTATACAGACCAAGAAAGTGAACACTTTGATCAGCCCTGATGGAACAAGGAAAGCATATGTTTGATTGACTCCAGTCTACGATGCTTTGGATGTGGCAAACAAGATTGGAATAATATAAACAAATTTAGTTATTATTTTGTTCCGATCAAAGATACAGTCTTTTAAGTGTGACAATTTTGTTATAATGATCACAAAATACTTTGAATTGTTTATCTATCCTTCTTCAAATATAAGTGTTGTTGCTTACCAAAGAATCAGGCACGAATATGACGTGAGATGCAAATCAACCAAAAGAAGAAGCAAAAACAGGACACTCATGTCGGACGTCTGGAAGGATTCTGTCGGACGTCCGAAAGGATAAAGAACATCAAGAAGGAAGCTCTGTCGGACGCTCGTAAGGAAGCATCGGACGTCCGAAAGGATCGGACGCTTGCCATCGGACGCACATCAACCGCATCGGACGTCCGAAAAATTCCAAGATGACTTGCCAACTCTTTGCCAACGATTGGACGCTGTGCTGTCGGACGAAACAAACGCATCGGACGTCCGAACTTCAACTTGGCTGTCATCGGACGATTGGTTCGGACGATGATTTGATCGTCGGACGTCTGACAGCCCCAACGGCTAGTTGACTCTTCAGTTGCCTTCTATCCGTTGGAAGCATTGATGAAGCTCATTTCTGATTCCCTTTAAAATCAAACTGGTCTGAACCAAGCAGGGACTTTTGCACACTTTGTTTGCAAGATCTCAAGAGATATTTTAGCGAGAAAATAGTCTTCAAAGCGAGATTTGTTTGAAAGTGGTGTGAACTTCTTGTGAGCATTTCTTTTGTGGTTGAAAGGGTCTTTAGTGTAGCTTTGTTGAGGGTTTTCTGAGTGATTGTAAAACTTCTTAGCTTGACTAAGTGAGGCTTAGGGCAAGGAGGAAGTGCTCCCTCCATTGTACATCTAGTTGATCTTCTTTCATCAAAGAGAAGTTGCTCAACCTAGTGATTGGTCTTCAAGTTTGAGGATAGCTTGGTAGACACTTGATTCGATTCCCTATCTTATTTTTCTGTTTAATAAAATTCTCATTGCTTATCTATACTTGTTTTTTTTTTCTGATCAATATTGCTCTTGTCTTCTAATCTACTTGGTTGATCATTACTAGAAAAGAAGGTAAATTTTTATTAAAGAAAAAGTGCATAAATTTGGTTAAGATTTTAATCAACCCAATTCACCCCCCTCTTGATTGTCTTTGGGACTTACACCATGTCTTCAAGCCCCTCAAGCCCCTCAAGCCCTTCAAGTCCCTCAAGCCCCTCAAGTTTCTGATCAGATATTGCTAGTGTTAACCCGACCCACGTCTTCAATGCCGCCAGCGTCACGGGCTGTCCCAACGTCAACTGGTGCGAGTCCCACAAAGTTGAGACGATCCGGACAAGTCTTCAATGCCGCCGGCATCACGGATAGAACCAATGTCGACTGGTGCGGGTGAATTTTTAAGTATGATGCGGGTCATCCACTCGGGTCGGGTGTTGGATTCAAGGAGAAGGAAAAACCTGCAACTTTATTGGATCTTTCTATTCCAAGTTCCAAGATCAAAGCCATGGTGGGTTCTCTTTCCTTTTATCTTTTCATTCATTTTTGGTTTCCTATTTGAAATTCTAATAATTTATGTTTTAATTTTTTTATTTTTGGAAATTGTGATTAGCTGAGCTCAAGTTGTTATTTGGGTGTTTTCTTTTCTTTATATGGGATATTATTAATCTGTTTCATTAGATAGTGGGTAGGCTGAATGGTTGTCGAGAACAGCATGCAATATGGTTTAATCCGAAAATGAGAAAGAATTGCGAATTGTGAATTTCTTAAGCTGGTGCCAATCTGATTATTGAAGAATTGTGAAGAATTGTGGTTTAATCTGTATCATTTGATTATTGAAGTTTGAGTTTGGAACTGAAAGACGAGACTGGGAAGAATGTATTTCTGTATCCGAAAATGTTTTTTGTCACTTTTTCTTTAAGAATTTCCGGGATTGAAATTTACTCTTCTTGTACCTTTGGTGATAGACATTCAAGTCATCTGAGGCTTTTAGTCTTCTATATTTCAGATGTGGTCTACTGTGCTCTCAATATAGTGCTTGATTATGTTGATTATGTTGATTAGTGGCGCTTGCTACTGCTTAGATATACCTTTTCTTGGAGCAATAGGCACTGATTTAGAAAGAATCTAGTCCTACTGCATATCTCTGCAGGACATGAGGAAACTGATTCCAGCTATGTAGTTGTTTTCTTTAGAGGATGTGTGCTTGTTTTCTCCTTGATTTAGTGGGAACAAGAGTATCTACGTAGCTATCCTACAAGTCATTAATATGTACCGTTCTCCCTAAATTGTATTTTGGTTTTCAGGTTGAGAAGCAAATGCTGCTAAAAAGACTACTAGGGTAAAAAGACTACTGGGGTAACTATGGCTCCAGTAGGAGTGGTAAAAAGACTACTGGGGTAACTTTGCTTGTTATAGACGTCCTGATCTCGTTTGCAGTGGTTGCTGGGCTTTATGAACTTCTGGCATAAAGGAGAGATGCGAACCACAAGGGTGAGAGTCTTGCCATGGCATGTCTTTCTTGGCCACTACACATATGCTTTGGCAGTGGTAACAGCTGAGACAAGGCTTCCGAAAAAATTGACATTCTTGCAAACCAGAGGAGATGTATTGAGACGTTGCACCGAGTCAATGGTTGTGAACGGTTTAGGACTTGGATTTGCCCTTCTGAGTGGTATTGTAATATTAGCAGCAGTTTTACCAAAGCATGAAGCTCCACACTTTAAGATGATGTACACAAACAACAAATGCTTGTCTTCTCAGTAACAATTATCCAAGTCTTTGTTATGAATAATTATTTTAATTGTTTGCATGAAATGAAGTAGACTATAAACAACTCGAAACAACCAAACATTATACCACTGAAATAACACTAGAGGTTCCATTTCATCCAAGAACATTTACAACAAATCTTTGTAGCATTTTAAACTAGACACAAAAGACATTTCCATCAGCTAACACATATGAGCCGTGAAAATCTAGATAGCCAGTGCCACTTTTTTCAACTTCTTAACATGTTTATAAGTTGGGCAAACAAGTATGCAGCCAACAAGACAAGATTTATTGCTACCAATATCTTAATATGCCCAAGCCAGCTCCAAATAGAACAGAGCACCGTATTTGCATCATTTCTTTGGATCATATGACTTGCTGCACCAACGTCTCCATCTACATTTCTCCTCAACCATGGATTATAGTTTACTTCAGTAAATTCAGATCTTGCACCTTGCATAAATCTTGGGTTATAGTTCACCTCATTCTCTACAACATAATTTAGCAAAACCCACTTCAACCATCCATGCACACTACAATTATAATAAAGCCTTCCGGGGTTCTTTTGTGTTCGAGATACCATAATTGAAGCTATTTGACCACAACCACATCTTATGCTCTCAAAGCTCAAATTTTCAATATTTGAGCTATTGCTTGAAGAAGCCATTCCTACAAAATAAAAGTCATATTATAAAAGTAAAAACATTAACAGCAACCAAACTCAATTAGAGTAGGCATTAAAGTAACAAAAAATATAATTCCTGCAAAATGTAATTAACCCTCATAAGATTTACTAAAAGCTAATCAATTATGCTTATTGCTAACAACTACAAAATTATTACTCGTTGTTTTTACTTTGCAAATTATTTTTAAATTAAACTCTTCAATTTCATCTTATTAACAGACCATAAATCGTAATTTTATAATTTTATAAACCCCAAACCTTGAGATATCCTAAATGTGGCCACGGAATAACAAAATACCAACAAAAGCAAATAAATTACACATAAATGAAAATTAATCTAAGAATGATAATGTCATAATTAAAGAACCCTTAAATTCCGTCTTAAT